ATATGTATTCATGTATACATGAGCACATACACATGAAAACATGAATATGTACCACCGTGGGGCGATGAACTGTATAATATAACCCTCAAAATAGGTCATTTCTTTGGTATACAGTTTTGATTGAACATTTTTCAATTATCCACGCTTAAGTTTTAAATATTTCTTGCACATAATAAACAGTATACACATGTATGCGAATCGTACGTCTGAACATAAATCGCACAGGATGAACGCTTCCAGGTTAACGACGTATGTTCTTTGGGGCTATTACTGAATATGTCCGTCCTCTATTACATGAGCGGATCCGGGGCGGATCCCTTTTTGTGTCGCCTATTGCTATTTCGGCGTCGTCGGTGTCGGTGTCGGCGGCGTCGGTGGCGGTGTCGGCGGCGTCGTCCGAACAGAGGTTTAATAACTTGATAACTTGAGTTTCCTTGGGCCGATCAAACTCAAACTTCATGTAGTGCTTTCTTACTAAAGGCGCTTGCTTGGGATTGCTTTTCAGGTTCGAAGGTCAAAGGTCAAGGTTACTGTTACTATACATATAAAATCTGTTTTCGTGCGATAACTTGAATTTCCTTGGGCCGATCAAACTCAAATTTCATGCTGTGCTTCCTTACCAAAAGTGCTTGCTTGGGATTGCTTTTCAGGGCCGATAGTCAAAGGTTAAGGTCACTGTTACTACAAATAGAAACTTCACTAAAAGAAATTTTGGAAATTGGAAACCTTGGTTTAGACATATTTGCATATCTCGTGCTTTGCGTCATATATAATTCCGTGCAGTAACCAATTGAAAGGATCCAAATACATTATTAAGTTAAAGAAATCACAGCTCTATTTTAGTAAATAACCCGAAATTGCTTTAGAATTTTAAATTAAGTATGTTTTGCTGAAACATTTTCCTTACATCCGTCAGGTGAACGTAAGTGTTATCTCCCCTACGCAATGGTATTCTTTTTCAAATAAAATTTCGTGCATTAGTCAAATGTAACTTACCATTTTCCTTATGTTACTCTATTGAAATTAAAAACGTTTGACAGCGAATAATCACTTTGTACAATTTCAAAATGAGCCGTACAAAAAGATCTTGTTTGAGGGAAAAAAAGTGATGCTTGCAGGACTCGAACCATCGAAGACGAAAACGTCGACTGTCGTGTAAGACCTGCCGGTTAAGCCCACTACACCACTCCATTAGATACTGTAAAATCGAGTTTTTATACTATATTTGGTGTGGAGCATCCTTGGGTAGTGGGGAACCAATTTTGTATAAACCATGGGTCTAGCTCCCCAGGGCCTGAGGGGCGGGGCCCAATAGGGAAACAGCAAATTATTCTTTAAAATCTTTCTTCTTCTGTAGGAATGAAAGGATTTGGTCCATATTTGGTCAGAAGCATCCTTGGGGGAAGGGGAATAAAGTTTGTATAAATGGTTGGTCGGGCCCCCCTGGGGGCTGAGGGGCGGGGCCCAAAAGGGGAAACATAGCAAATTATTCTACAAAATCCTTCTTCTGTAGGAATGAAAGGATTTGGTCCATATTTGGTCTGAAGCATCCTTGGGTGAAGGGGACCTAATTTTGTATAAATCAAGGGTCTGGCCCCCAGGGGCCTGCGTGGCGGGGCCCAATAAGGGGAAACATAGCAAATTATTCTTTAAAATCCTTATTCTTCTGTAGAAATGAAAGGATTTGGTCCATATTTGGTGTGGAACATCCTTGGGTAAAGGGGAACCAATTTTGTATAAACGGTGGCTATGCCCCCCC